GTAAAATGATAAAGTTAGACACATGTTAATACCATCTCAGCAAAACCTTAGGTTTGAAATATTTTTTTAAAATCACAGAAGAGAAGGCAGGGAGTTACACACATCACATCCTCCTTTGACAATTATCTTAAAACACATGAAAGAGTTCACTCACAACACCACACCTGTTAACTATCTCCTTATTGTTGTAAAATGCCATCAGGAAGGTGGATTGTGCGTATCTTTTGGGGGAAAAGAAGATTTCAGTGGAGGCCATTTCCACATTTGAGGCCACCATAAAGTCTTCTGTCTTAAATGCATTCATAGATATAATTCGACAACTAGGGTCTCACTGTGACATGAACCTCTCTCTTCAGTCTCTTCCCACGACAGACAGACTGATGGAGTTTAAGGAGATAATTTTGTGATGATTTCAAAATTTTCCGTCTCTGTGCATCTGTCAGTGTCTAATACGATGGGCTCTACAACGGAAGATTTCCCCACATTCCTTGCACTGATAGAGATTTTTCTCTTGAATGAATTTGTTTGTGTTCCCCAGGATTCTTGTTCAGACACATGCTTTTCCCACCTTCTTTACAATGATGCAATTTCTCCCCTGAATGTGAGTGTTGATTAAGTTTAACATCTGAGATTTGCTTGAAATTTTTGCCACACTCTTTGCATGTATATAGTTTTTCTGCTGAGTAAATTGGTTGATGTACTGTGACATTTGAGTGTTCGCTGAACCTCTTCCTACATTCTTTGAACTGCATGGGTTTCTCTCCTTTATGATGCTTTCTCAAGGTTGACTCAACTATGAAGTTTTTCCCACATTCTTCATACTGATATTGTTTTTCTCCTATATGAATTTGCTGATATACTATCCTTCCCACATTCTTCACATTTATAGGGTTTCTTTCCTATGAATTTGTTCATGTATTACAAGGTTTGACTTCTGGCTGAATTTTTCCCCACATTCATTGCACTGATGGGGTTTTTCTCCCGTATGAATTCGCTGGTGTCCTTCAGGATCACTGCTCCGGCAGAAACATTTCTCACATTCCTCACAAGTATATGGTTTCTCCCCTGAATGGTGATGTATTTCAAAAGGTGAGGAATGACTCGAACATTTTTCACATTATTTGCATGAATAGGGTCTTTCTCCTGAATGAATTCTACGATGTATTATAAGTTTTCCGATTTTGTTGAAGTTACTCCCACACTCTTCACATTAATAGGGTTTCTCTCCCGTATGAATTCGCTGATGTACTACAAGGTCTGCCTTCCGGCTGAACTTTTTCCTACATTCATTGCACTGATGAGGTTTCTCTCCCGTATGAATTAGTTGGTGTGCTTTAAGATCACTGCTCTGGAAGAAACATTTCCCACATTCTGCACAAGAATATGGCTTCTCCCCTGAATGCCAGAGCTGATGTACTTTAAAAGCTGAGGAATGACTGAAACATTTTTCACATTCTTTACACATATAAGGTTTCTCTCCTGTATGAATTCGCTGATGTACTATAAGGTGTGACTTCTGGCTGAACTTTTTCCCACATTCATTGCACTGATGGGGTTTCTCTCCCGTATGAATTCGCTGGTGTACTTGAAGATCACTGTTCTGGGAGAATCATTTTCCACATTCTTTACAAGCATATGGTTTCTCCCCTGAATGGAAGCGCTGATGTAATTTAAAAGTTGAGGCATAACTGAAACATTTCCCACATTCTTTGCACATATATGTTTTCTTTCCTGCATGAATTCGCTGATGTACTTGAAGATGTG